CTTCCAGTTTCTCAGTAGAATCATAGATCATTGGTTTGAGGCCTTCTTTTCTAACAGAAGCTTTTGATGTTATACATTTCCCACTAGGCCTTGTTTTGGTTACATCCTATAAATTTTATATTTTCATTTTTGTTCAAAATATTCTCTAATTTCCTTTTTTACTTCTTTAGCCTATGAGTTATTTGAAGATGTGGCTTTCAGCTGCTAAATATTTGAGGATTTTCTAAGTATGTTACTGGTTTCTAAGCAGATTCTATTTCCATTCTACAACATACTTCCCAGCGTTTCTGCTCTCTTACATTTGCTGCCATTTGTTTTAGTGCCCAGAAGCCATCTGTCTTGATTAATGCTTCCTGTGTACTTTAGAAGATTGTACATCTTGCTACGGTTAGACAGGGGGCAGCATAAATATCAGTGGGGCCGGGGATATAGCTCAGCAGCACCGCACTTGCCTGGCTGTTGGGAGCCACAGAAGCTGGAAAATTGGTCAAATGTGTGTAAGTGGGACTAGGCCTCAGCGCCTAAAGCAAACCAGCTACCTCCGTCCTGGGATAAGCATCCCAACTGGTTAATGCCGGCACTGGGCAACCTTGTGTAGCGAGTTACTGCTGTTGCAAAGGCATCCCTGGATCCCGACAGCTGGCAAGTGCAAGGTTCTGAGTTCAATTCCTGGTAGAAATAAAGGTATGAATAAAGTCCCGAAGCCTCACCTATACTCATGAACCGGGCTGCTTTTCCACTTTCTCTCTCCGCATTGTCTTCTGTCAGTGTTTGCTGTATGCATCTCGGAGCCCTGCCATGATGTGCATACAGCTTTGGGATTATTTTATCTTCTTGATTAATAAACTCATTTATTAATATGCAGCCTCCCTCATTTTCCCTGGCAGCATTTCTTTTTCCAAGTCTGCCTTGTGGGATATTAATACAGCCACTCCAAACTTTCCCCAATTCGTGGTGTGTGTGCGCGCGCGCGCGCGCGTGGCCGGCTCCGCCCACTCCGGGGAGGGGCGGGGCAGCGCGTGGTGCTGGGGATTGAACCGTAGTCCCTGAGCACCTGCCCTAGGGTGGAGGGAGGCTCCTCAGTGGGGCTAGGAGCTGAGTGCGTCTTGTCACTCTGTAGCACTTCCCTTGGGAAGGTCTGAGACTAGGGCCAGCCGCAACCCTCCCAGGACCCTCTCTGAGCCTGAGCACTTGCCTAAGCTTTGGAAGCAGGCACTTCAGACGGCTGAGCTATCTCACCGGCTCAATTCGTGTTTGTATGTTACATTTCTTTGATTCTTTTATTTTTACCATGTTTGTATCTTTAAAGTGCATTTCTGTATCAGCATGTAATTGCATCACATTTTACCCACTTTGCAATTTCTGGCTTCTGGTTAGTGTTTATACCATTCCTATTTATGTATTGCTATGACTGGATAAATCTACCATCTGCTGTACCCAAACCCAGGCTTCACAATCTTTAGCTCCCCCTTTAGGCCGGAGTGAGAATTTATGACTAGTGGCTCACCCTGGAAGCTAAGACAGTCTAACCTTAGCGTCCCGCAGCTCCAGGCCCTGACAGGACAACTCCGCAATTTCAGGGAAAGCAAACTGAAAATAATTTTGGGAATTTTTAAAAAGCTCTTACTATGAAACCTGGCTTGGATCAGAGAAACCGGACTATCAGTCAAGTCCGCTCCACCTCCCTTCTCCCTTCTTGGTGAACGTATTCACCTGCACACCAGTGGCAGCCTTGCAGCGCACCTCAGTGGTGCCCAGGGCCTGCTTATCTGGGCCAGTGCGGCCATCTGTTACCTCCTCGGCGACTTCGCAAGCTTGCTTTTAGTCTGCCATTATTGAAGATTGATATATATCCACAAAAAGTAAACTGTAAGCAAAAGTGAACATCAAAACTCATTATTTCCTGATTATTTCACTATTATTTATGCTCCTGTGAATTACTGATGCTTGATTTACATGAAATATAAAAGTACACTGCTGTTCATTCTTCCCGAATCTCGCTTCAGGGCTGTCACCTTGGTAGCCTGCAGCTGGCCATGGTAGTAACAGTCTTCACACATGGAAATCCATATAAGTTGCTGTTGTGTTTTGTCAGTTATCTGCATTAAGAACTATCAGATTTTTATAAAAAGCCAGATGACACGTTAGGCCTTGTGAGCTATGTGACCTCTCATATAACCTCTGGTTGTTGGTTCTCAGCCTGAACGAAAACTGCCACAAGTTAGATCTGACCTACAGACTGCAGTTTCCCACCCCTTGGTCCAGATTTAGAGAGTAAAGCAGGGGCGAGGGCACAGCCCTAGCGTGCGCAGGCTCTGAGCCCAGAAACAAAACAAAGCAAAACGAATCAAATAGAAGTAATAAGGAAAATGCCAAACTGTCCCATCTATAGCCACTACACTGAGCAAAATGCAAAAAGCTTAGGGACGTATTCTTCACCGTACTCAACCTGTCACTCGTTGCAGCAGTCTTGTTCGCACCACTGGAGACCAAGGGGAGCTCTGGAATGGACCTTCGGCCTCTCACTTTTGTCTCAGGAATACAAACAGGGCCGTGAGATAGCTCAGCAGACTAAGCACCTGTGTAGGCAAGCGCAGGGACAGGGCTTCAGCCTTGGCCCCACAGCCAGCCCTGCCCCGGGTGTGCTGAGCCGGCCACTGAGGCTGGGCATGGCGGCTCACACCTGTAATCCAGTGCTGGGGAGGCTGAGGCAGGAGGATCACTAGGAAGCCAAGCTGCATAGTAAGACCCTATGCCAAATACATTAAAGAAAAAAAAAGGAACACAAACAAAAATATAAAACAACACTGAAGCTGGAACTATACACTTTGGCTGGTGATGTGCGCAAAACCCTTTAGAAGGGCCAGGTGTGGTGGTGTAGCGCTGCAGCCCGGCACTCACGAGGCTGAGGCAGGAGAACACCAGGAGTTCAGGGCCAGCCTGGGCTACGTAGTGAGTTCAAGGCCAGCCTGAACTGCACAAGACCCTGCTTCAAAACAAAATGACATTTTTGCTGAAAGGAATAGTAACCAAGCATTTACCCGTAGTATTTTTTAAAGTTAGTTTGCTTGATTTTGTTTTGTGGCAGGGACTAGCTACGTAATCCATACTGGCCTCAACCTGCAGCAGCCTTGTGCCCCAGCCCCGTGTGCTGGGATTGTAGGTGCATACCACCACGCCCTGCCACCATCATCTTGGTATTATGACTCTCTTGTGAATTATGAAAACATAGTAGAATTTGTAAAGATTAAAAACATACAATAGAGCACAGTGTGACAGATTACCAGGCACAGGGGCATGAACCTGGAATGCCAGCTCCGGGAGGCTGCAGTGGGAGGATCTAGAACTCAGGGCCATTCTGGGCAACTCCGGCAGGTGAGACAGAAATACAGAGCATCTGCAGGTGCGAGGGGGTCAAGCCCACCAACCGCCCACCAAAACATTGGAATTACTTACTTTGGTCCTGGGCATTGAACGTAGGTCCTCCTGTGTGCGAGGCCTAGGCTTTGCCCCTGGGCTGCACTGCCCCAATACATTGTATGCTGTTTGTAGATATGTTTCATACATCCTTTGTACCATATTAGGAAACCTTATAATACGTATAAATATGCAACCTTTTTTCACGAAGCCCGTTGTCAAGTATCTCCGGCACACCGCTGTGTACACGTCTCAGGCGGAGCTGATCATTATTGTGGTACTGGGAATCAAACTCGGGCCCTCGCGCTTGCCAGGCCGCCCTGTGCCACTGAGCTATCTCCCCAGTAACTGTTGTGCTGACATGCTGACTAAATGACACAGTCTGAGTCAGGTGAAGAAGGCCACTTGTGGCAGATCGCCAACTGGTGGTCAACTTGTTACACCCCTAGAACTGAGCTAGCAAGGCCCTGGGTGTCGAGGGCCCAGCTGAGGATGTCAGCAGGAGTGCAAGAGGCAGGACTAGAGAAGCGGCTGAAGCTCTAGGGAGGCTGTTTGGAGAACCTAGGCTGTGGGGCTGCCGGGAGCTGCTGGCTCTCCGGGGCTGTGCTCCTGAGGAGCTTGTCCTGATGCACGCGGCTGTTCTCATCAGCAGGACCTGGTCTCTGAGCATGGCTGTGGCTCGCTTTGGGGAGCCCTGGCCCTCACCTTGAGCATCGCTTCCTGGCTCTGGAGGGGAGGATGGTGCGCAGCTCGGCCTCCTGGAGAAGCTCGTCACGTTGCCTTTCCTGATGGGAGCTCAGCTGTCCTCATTGCTGGAGGAGCTCGGGACCTCAGTGTCGCTGAGGATGGCTGTGGTTCTCTCCGGGGAGCACTAGTCCTCCTTACCTTGAGGGTCGCTTCCTGGCTCCCGCGCAGACCCCTCAGCCTACTGGCACAGATCCTCCATCCCGCTGGCACAGACTTTCTAGCGTCCGCCACTGACCGCTGACCTTTGGGCCCTTCCGACACAGATCTGTAAAGTGGCCCACGTGAGACTCTGTCGTGGGCTCCAGGCCTCTGGTTGGACTTGTGGGAGGCCCTGGTATGAGCTCTAGGCCTTCAGCTGGACTCATGCAGGCTATTAGGATCCAGGCCCCCAGCTGGAGTCCTCGGTCTTTAGTGTGTGGACAGGTTTCTGCAGTTTTGTGTGTGATTCTTTAGGTGACTGTTTTTAAGTACTCTTATAAAATATGTGTCCTGCACTATGTTGCTCCCCTTGCAGATACCCCAAACCACGACACCACTGGGTGGAGGGGTCTGGGGCCCAGCCGCCTGAGTGAGATGGGAGGGAGGTGACTTCTCCACTCTTGGGGGGTCTGCAGATGCCAGGGATGCAGTAGAAAGGAAAGAAAGGGGGGCCGCCTCACTAATAAAACCAGTCAGAGAAGCAGTATGCAGCTGTAAAGCATAAAAGGGCCCAGCAGCCAGGCGCGGCGCAGGAAGTCCGCGGCACTTGACAGAGCAAGCCCGAAGGAGCCACACGACCTCTTGAAACGGCCCACAGAGAAGCCTCACTCGCAGAGAATAGAGAAAAAGCCCTAAAACGTGGTGGACTGTTGCTTTATTTGCTTTGCTTTCTAGACAAATTAGAAGTTATAAAGATGTGTCTCGCCTTCGGTGCAGCGTAAACTACGAGCTGACAAACCCCTGCGGTTGGGTTGGAATCCTCTGGTACCTGGTTCTGCCTCTAAAGAGCCTCCATCTGGTCCTTCTTGTTGTGGACTGAGAAAGCGTTCCAAACCAGAATCTGAACTGCCACGATGCCCAGCGGGACCAGGCAAACCAAACAGAACACAAAGTCTTGAAGATCTAACACTGCACTGGGAAGAAAAAAATGTAGAAAACGTGGTTAGATTTTTTCCCCAGTGGCTTATTAATTCAACACTATTTAAGAAATGTTTTCAGCAAAATTTTGTTGTCTATGAACCCATTTACAAAGTCTCCGTGCATGGTGCTGCACACCCCTGGAATCCCAGGACTCAGGAAGCTGAGGCAGGAGGATTGCCGTGAGCTCAAGGTCAGCTTAGGCTACCTGGTGAGTTCAAGGCCAGCCTGGACTGCATAGCGTGACCATGTAAAAAACAAGACGTAAGGCATTTTATGAATTTATTTTAACTCCTTCAAATATTTGAATAATTCCTTCCTTCCAGTTACTTATATTAGCAGAAGTTGATGTGTAACCCTACGAGCACAAAGGCCTGGTGACCAGAGGCACAGCGGCTGTCCTGGATGACACATAGGACAGATTTTGAACAAGGTGTGAGGATTTGGATATTTATTTCCAGGACTAAACTTACTTCCACTCACGCAGAGGAATCCAGGGTTAATCACTATACTCAGAAGCAGCACGCCCTGGCTTCCTGCTGAGAATGTCTCGCAGTGCGGGGGCCCGTAGCAAGTGTGCCGCTGCACAGCCTTGGGCTAGCTGAGCTACCTCAGTAGCCCCTCACTCATCCAGCCAGTGGAAGAAAGAAGTGAAAAAGCCAAAATATATAATACAGGGAAATGAGGTGGTTTTCATTTCATGTTAAAACCTTGGGCCAGGGAGACAGCTCAGGGGCATAAGCACCTGCCTGGCAAGTGCAAGGTCCTGAGTTCAGTCTCTGGTACCAAAAAAAAAAAAAAAAAAACCCTAGTACCAGAACCAAAGTATCATTCATTTATGCAAAAAATACGGAGACTGTGTGCGTGTTATTTAAGTACCACGTGTAAGTCGTGGCTATTCAGTGGCAGGCAAAGCTAGTGGGTTTCCTACCACCATGGGGCTCACCTTCATGCAGGCAAAGGTCTCACCTAGAAGAAGTGGACCTTAAAGGATCACGAGTAATTTTGATTTGATGACTATGAGCAAGAGCAGGGTGGAAGTGCTCAGGACACTAAATGCAGATTCACTGCCCGAGTCCGACCTACTCCTGGCGAGGAGAGCCCAGGAAGGCTTCCCAGAGGAAGGGACATTCGAGCTGCGCTCTGAGGGCCACGTGGCTACAGTCACGAGCAAAACCTCCAGCCAGCACTCCCTCCGCCTCTCACAGCCTTGGCTACGAATGGCCCCAGTACCCAGGACTGGGCTGTCCCGGTGAGGCACAGCAGTCCCTCCCACCCGCCTTCACCCTGAGTCCCACGAGGCCAAGAGCTGATCTCTCTCCCACCCCGACTCTTCCGTGCTGCACATGGGCTCTGAGGTAACCCGAGGCCAGGGTCACAGGCCAGACCCAGGATGCTGGCACTGACTGCGGCCTCCGGGAAAGGCAGCAGCCCTGACGTGCTCGCCAAATGTGGTCACCTTTCAGAAGCTCGGCTGAGTTCTCTGTGGCAAGCGTCACCCATAGGGACAGATGGTGCTTTGTCTTCCTTTACAGAAAGCCCCTCCCCCGGTCTACAGTAAGGCTGCCTCAGTCCTTGGGACATGGTGGGGCCTCACTTCCCCCAGGATTAGACACCTTCCCTACGTGGCCAGCGGATTCCACTCTTCAGGCTCCTCAGTGGCGGGCACTTGACTCACATCGTGCCTGTCAGTGCGCACCGGGCCCTTCTGCTGTGCTACTAGAACGAAGTATGTGTCTCCTCACAGTCTTAGGGCCCAGGAGATAGCTCAGGGGCACAGCACCTGGCAACTGCGAGGTCCTGAGTTCAATTCCTGGTACCAAAAAAAAAAAGAAGAAAAGCAAAAGAATGGAAGTCCTCACAGTCTTGGGCTGTCTGATCCTTGTAAGCCAGGGCAGTGTGCTGCCAGATTGCAAAAGACTGAACCGAACACAGAGGGGAGGGCTGACGAACGGATTCCTGACGTGATCTGACATTCAATTTTGCCTGACATTTTGGATACAAGAGTTAGTACGCTTTTTTTGCTGACTGGCATAGCTGCAATCAATTTCTGTCACTTACAGCAAAAGTGGCCTGCACAACACAGCCTTGCGGCGTCACGCTGACCCACGTTATTGCAGTCCGGCCACCTCTGACCTCTCCATGGGAGGGCTCAGTGACATCTAATCAGCCACAGCCAGTGAACACACGGTGGGTGAAACTGCTAAGTACGGACTGCTAGGACACAAGGACGCGGCCACGACTGTGCTTCTCAACTTGAGTCCGGGTGCTTCCAGTCATGAGCCAACTGGACAGTCCACTGTTCAGAGCCACGGGACACACACTGGAAGGGACAGCAGACCTGACCATGCTGGAAAGCGCCAAAGGTGACCAAGCTCTGCTTTGAAGCAGCATAAGTCATCCACGTCTCGAACAGTAAAGAGCGGAGGTGGCCCAAGGCTTTTAGAGAGGAGAACACAGTCCGTGCCGCGGGCCGCGAGACATACAATTGCTGCAGTAGGTTCCCTGAAGCCTGCGCTTCATGCCGAGGTGCGCGTCCGCTGGGTGAGCAGCTCTGTGCCCTCCACCTGCTGGCCCAGCAGCGGGAGGCCATCGCCCACTCACACGATGTGGTTTGAACAGATTCTAGTTTCTGAAATAGCAAGAAAGTGGACTCTGTGGCCAGGGGAGAGGTTTGCCACGCTGAGGTGGAACTGTCTTTTTCTCCTCCTTCCATGGGGAGCAGGGGTCAGGGGGCATCTGTGATGAGCATGCTGAAGATACACCCACAGAAAGCCAGGCTGGGCAGCCAGGGAACGGGCACTCCCAGGAATACGGCAGCTTGGTCACTGTCGGGTCGTGGGGTGAGGCCCAGCGTGGCCAGCCTCGCGTGGCTGCGGCTGGCACTGCAACCATTTTGATGACTTCCCACCTACTCCTGAGGGTACCTACGACTTCCCCACTTCTTCACTGAATACCTTCATGCTCTTCGAAGAATGCCTTGGTTTTGTTGATCTTTCCTTAAGATTTCTTTCTCCTCAAATGTTTTCTTCTTTCATCATCATCATCATCATCATCGTGAGGCAGGGCTCACGACGTACACCCAGGCCAGCCTCCAGTGCACAGTGAGCCCTTGCCTCGGCCTCCCAAGCACTGGCTGGAGAGGTTCCTCTACGCTGGAGACGCACCTATGAGCTCAAGGAGCTTCTGTTTCTCCCTCACATGCCTTCACATGTACTCCCCTGGGATGTGAAAAGCGCACCGATGCGTTGGGCTGTCCGGCTTCCAGACTGTCTTTGCCTCTTATTTCTAACCTTAGCAACGTTTTTAATGAATCACTAATAGAAAAGTAATTCTGAAGCCCCGCTTACATTTGTATTCATTCACGACTATTTATTGCCCATTTAACTGTACCGGTGCCAGGATGCAGAGTAGATAAACCAACAACGGCTCTTTACCCTCAACAAGCTTACATCCCAGTGGGGACAAAACTACCGCAAATAAATATACTCACGTCACCTTGTAACACTAACAATTGCACTTACATTTACAGAAACATTTTTGTCCCCAGTTTTCTTTCACACTCTATTTTTAAAAGAAAGATACCTACTTGCGGGTAATATTCCCTAGAATGTTACTATCCCGTGCTGTTTAGCTCATTTTCTTGGTTGATGCCCGTTAAACCATTTGTAAAAGCTCTAGGAGATAAAGAGGGCCGTAATGTAAGTTATTGTACTCTTCCCTCAGTCATAGCGCAGTCAGGACCTCCCTCATCGCACGCTCAAGAGAAGCCTTCCATTCTCTTCCCCATCAGCGGAGCAGCTGCTCCAAATCTTAAGCCAGTGAGGTTGCTTTCTGAGAGCACCAGGGAAACAGCTTTTATAGACAACCCTGTCCACAGGGTTCACCCAAGTCAGTTTCATTCAGTGAGAAACCCTGGGGAGGGAAGAGGTGGTCCAGATTGCAAAGGCCTCAGAAACTCAACTGTAGTGGATTTGCAACTGGTGGTCGCCTTGTAACCCCCAGCTGAGCTGAACCAGCGAAGCGCTGGGGCCGGAGGCCTGCCTGAGGACTGTTGCCAGCAGCATAAGAGGCGGAACAGGAGAGGCTGTCCGGAGGCTGTTAGGAAAGCTGTCTGCAGAAGCTGCTGGCTCTCCTGGGCTGCTCTGCTGCAGGACCTGGTCATGCCGGCCTGCCTGGTGAGCTTGGCTGTGCTCACCGTCGGAGGAGCTCGGGACCTCGCTGTTGCTGAGGACAGCTGTGCTTCATTCTGAGGACTTTGAGCATCGCTTCCTGGCTCCAGAGGGGAAGATGGGGCGCTGCTCAGCCTCCTGGGGAAGCCCCTCCTGACGGGAACCCAGCTGTCCTCACCTCTGGAGGAGCTCGGGACCTCGCTGTGGCTGAGGACGGCTGTGGTACTTTGGGGCCGCTCTGGGGCTTACCGTGAGCGCTGCTTCCTGGCCCCAGGGCAGACCCCTCAGCTGCTGGCACGGGCCCTCCATCCCGCTGGCACAGACTTCCTCGCTTCCACCCGACCCTGGGGCCTTCCCAGCACAGAGCCGTGAAGCGGGCCTGCGTGAGACACTGTCGTGGGCTCCGGGCCTCGGCTGGACTTGCGGGAGGCCCTGTTGGGGCTCTAGGGCTGCAGCGGGACTCACGCGGGGTGTTAGGGTCCAGGCCTCCCTGGAGTCTTTGATTTTAGTGCGTGGACAGACTTCCTGCGCTCTTTGTATGTGATTCTTCGGGTAATTATAAAATATGTGTCCTGCATTGTATCACTCCCCTTGTAAAACAAACCCCAAACCATGACCTCAAGTAAGGCTTAAACGGTACTTTATTTGGCCTGATGTCAGTGAAACTTAAATAGTTGCTACCTCAAAGACACAGCAGAACTTTCTCCTTTCTAAAGTCAGCCTGATGAGCCCTTCTTAAGAACAATGTGCAAGACCCTCGCAGGTGGCTGTCTGCCCGACCCGTGCCTCTGCTGGCGTGGACTCCCACAGCCGGGCACCAGAGA